TTGATAAACGTTGGATCCTAAAACTAATACTAGTATAATTTAACATCTAGTTGTGCATTAACATTTTACAACCACATCAATCTAATTTGTCGGTCAACGCAATAAACTCAATCAAATCACTCGACAACTCAAATTATTACGGAATACTAGCTAGTCTAATCTAATTTAGTATTGTCTCAAAAAAAAAAAAAAAAAAAAAAAAATCTAATCTAGTATTGCTACTATTAATCTATTATTAGTGCAAATTTGCAATCTAAACATGTACGGAGTACTCCGTAATATGACTCTATAATCGTCTTTTATTTCGTCTGATTTTAATAAAATTAGCTAATTAAATAATTATACAAAGAAAATTTATATGTATGGATTACAACTGCTTCTTTTGGATTAAATAATTATGACTTATAGTGATGGACAATAATTTAATACGGAGTAACTACATACAAGTATGAATTAAATTAAGCATATATACATTTTTTTAATTCAAGAGTTTGGTTTGACAATGTGATAGAAGACAAAGCCTAGGCACCTATTAAATTTTACTAATTAATAATTTTAAATTAAAGATGATTGGCATTTTTGTAATTAAATTAAAGATGATTATTCATTTGTGATTAACATTTTTGTAATCATCAAACTTGGGCATAGGACATGAGTAAAGATCAATACAAACATTTTAAAACCGAATGCAATTTTCACTATTAGACTTAGACCTACTAATTATTGGTACAAGGAGAAAGGCTCAATCGGGTCAGAACTTCTCACAGATCTTTTTGACCCGGGCTACAGGCAAGGTGTTTTAAAAGATCTCACAACCTCTTGATTGTGAGATACAAACTTCACCACTAAATCAAGCTCATATATTTCGTATAATTAATACAGTCTGTCGTTCCGTACTTTGTATATACATGGAAGAACCATGAATCATCGTAAAGACTAGAATAAACCCGGTCTACAATAACTTATTGTAGACCCAACCTTCTAGTATACCATACGAATGTGATTATATCATACGAAATGTGATTATATTACAAAAGTGATTATATCATTTTGAAATTGTTATGTAAATGTAACACTCAAAAAGTAAATTTATCATTATAAAAAGTATGAAATGGTAAATTACATCATTCAAAAGATGATTTTTAAATTTTATCATCCTAAAGATAATTATATAATCTCATTAAATGGTTTAACATGAGATTATATAATTCAAAATGTGACTCACAAAAAAATAATTATATTGTCTAAAAAAGTGATTATATCATCCACAATGTGATTATATTATTTGAAAGTGTCAAATTTTGGATCTACAATAATTTATTGTAGATCGGATCCATACAAGACCAATCATACAGTAAAATAAAAAAAATAAAAATGTTTGAAGAATGGGCGTAGGATCAGTTAAGAATTACGTAGCGTGAAATGATTTATGATGGACAAGCCATGAGAATGTCAATAAATGGTTAGCCTCCCAAATACCATTACATCCATTTACTTTGCTCACCTCTTTTTAGGCGCCACCTCCCCACCGCCCTCCTATTGCTCCTATGCCACTTAACCTAGCTATACCAATTACTCCGATTTTAGAGTCTGTTTATATTTACTGAACTGAACTGATTGGAACTGAAATGAATATTTAATGAGAGAAGAAAATTAAAAGCTAAACTGAATTGAAATTGAGGTGAAGTGAATAGGCCCTTAATTACACTTTCCATCTAATTTTTTTTTAGAGGAAATTTTTATGCTAAAATTTAACCACCTCCATTTTTTACAAGCAACCATTTTCTTACATGAATTAGATGATTCCTCTAATATTTTGTTTTTCCTACTTGCAACTAATTATCATGTAAACAAGCCTTTCTAAGGGCTTGTTCTAATTGACTGAACTAAACTTATTGGAGCTGAGCTGAACTAAACTTAATATTTTATGAGAGAAAGAAATAAAGAACTGAACTGAACTTATTAGAGCTGAAGTGAACTGAAAATAAGCTGAAGAGAACAGACCCTAGAAAGAAATTAGATAGAATTAATAAAAAAAATTAATTAAATTTTTTGAATTCGTTATAAAATAAGTATCCGACTCTTTCTTATAATTTATCCATTTTGACCTATGTAATATGTCTTTCAAATAAGAGTAACCTTATATTGAGTTGCAAGTAAAAAGAGACCAAAGAAGTAATTAATCCACATTGTTTAATGATCTCACCATCCAAACCTAATAAAATTATTTCAAAATTTTCAACATGCTAGTATAAGGATTTTTTTTTTTTTTAAAAAAAAAAAAAAAAAAAAAAAAAAACTAATTTCACCCTTTCACTTTAATTTAAGTGATGGACAAAATAGAAAAAAGAGAAAGCAAGCAATGCATGCAGTAGCAGTTAATTAAAGTGGAGGTATTTTCATGCAAATAGGCAGCTACGAGTAGTAAAAATCTAACGTTACTCAGCTATCTTCATGTTGATGGGAGTAGACCATCTGTTTATTCTGCCATTAGCATGTATCCTCAGAAGGGTGAATTGTACAGTAAACCCAAAATATTGCTAACTTTAATTTCAAACAATAAATTTACTTAACATGCAATATCAGCTCAATCTTCTATGTTGATTGTTTATAAATGAACCTATAAGCTAGCTTCATGCATCTCTCTGGATTACAATTTAGGGGACATTAACCATTAGAGTGTGTATATATGTGTGATTGTGTGTCAAGTCTTAAGCAACATTTATGGTGCTAGCTAGCTAGATGTAAATCTTATTGAAGGAAAAGGGAACAAATGAACAATGCACAAGTGCGTAATTTTCAATTTGATTTATGAGTCGGATTACTTTTACGGATTATTTATTAACTTATAGGAGTCAATTATATTGTACGACATAGAAGTCAATTATATTTCAGTCCAGTAAAATTAATTTCAGTTCAGTATAATTACTTTCAGTTCAAGAAAAATAATTTAAGTTCAGCAAATATAATATTATTTCAATAAAAATAATTTCAGTTCAGCAAAAATAAGGTAAAGTACAGTGAACGGGGCCTAATAATCTAATACATACATTCACATACTCATCTGTTTCTTAATAAATTACATGGTACCATGCCAATTAATAACCTTATGTATGTTCAAAAACAAAATTAGGAAAAAGATAAACAGTAGAACACAACTAAAAACGAGCGAAAAACAAGTAAAATAAGCAGGTGTACATAATAGAAAATCTGGAAAAGACAGATCAAGCCAAATAGGTACCCAACTTCTTTTATTGCACAACACTCCCTCAATATATTATGCCATATTTTGCCCCCCTATCTAATTTATTCTCTCGAGATATAAATGCATTTGGACAATAATATTTTAATTTTATATGCATATAAAACCAAAAAATAAAATATAGTGTAAGAAAAAAATGATTTAGGGAGTAGAAATTAAAAAGAGAGAATAATAATGAAGATAATTAAATTGGAAGGTGTGGTTTTGTGATCATGACGACGTTGGCGTATTGTTAATACTAACACTCGAACGCGGTCAGAATGTATGACAGACAAAGAGGAGAGAGAAAATTACAAAAATTGAACAACAATTTTTATTGAGGTCAAACTTATAGGGGTCTTACGCTATGCTGTAGCCCTATAGCTATCATTATTCTATAGCCTAATTTATTTATTTTTTTACAGGAATAAATTTTTTTGACGGTAAATTCTTGTACTGTATTTATTTCTCTTCTAACTTATTTCAAATACTTACTCCGTATTACTTAATCCTAAATAAATCTAGATCAGATCAGACTTTTAATTATCACTTACTTATTGTTATATATAGTTAATTGCGTTTTAATAAAAAAATATAAAAATTACATATTTGAAAAGTTTATAACGAGACGGATCTAATCAGATCAATATTGATAATGTTTTACTTTATAGATTAGTATTAAATTGCGGTCAAAGTTTAGTCAAAATGTTCAATCATATCAGATCAGACCAGATAATAAAAATTCAAATAAGACCTTAAAGAAATCAGACCAAATCTACTTGTTTCAGGTAAAGAGAACAAGTCCTAAAGGGGATGGTAAGAGAATCTCTAACCCTAAATCTTTAGAGTTTGAAGTAAGAGTCTGTTCTCTTTATCTTATTTACAGTTCAGTTCAGTTCAGCTCCAATTAATTCAGTTTAATTTTCTCTCATAAAATATTTAGTTCAGTTAAGCTCCAATCAGTTCAGTTTAGTAAATCAAAACAAGCCTAAGAAATTTACCAAGTGAGACACACTTTGCTGATACGAGTACGTACACGAAATAAATGACATGTGTCTAGCTTCTAGTCTTTTAGAGATAGGAGGCTACAGTAGTTGACCAGTTCTCCGACTTTCAGGTGTGAGATCAGGAGTCGAATCTCACCAAGCACATTCTAGGAGTAGAAGAGATTTCCCTTTCATCCCCCCTTCTATGATGGGTCGACCTTCTTCTTACCCTAAAAAAAAGTAATTATTCCGTCTCTATAATATTTAATTTATTTCTCTCAGCTAGTAGATCCATCATAAATCATATCTTATTAATTTCATATTCCCTCTCCTCTGATTCTCTCAATTAATTTTGCTTTTTACAACTTTTATTACCCTACTACCTTCACATTTTATTATTTTTCTCAATTGTTTTCTTTAATTCCGCGTATGGAGGAATAGAGTAAGGGTTTGTTTTCATAGACTGAACTCAGCTGAACTGAATTAAATTGAACATTTTATAAGAGAAGGAAATTAGGAGCTGAACTTAATTAAACTGAAAATAAACGTATATGAATAGACCCTAAGTATTTAAAAACGGTGGGAGTTAATTACATACTCGATACTCCGTACTAGCCTACATAAGATTAAGTTAATTAAGAAGAAAAATTATACAAGTATAAAAAAATCAAAATGTGATGCATAAAATGCACATTAAAAACGTCACTATTGAAAATTCCATATTTCTAACAATGACATTTTTCTTAATACGGAATACCTTTTAAAAGTACGAGGGAATCAAATACCCAATACGGATTGAGTATAATAAACTTTGTAACAAAATTAAATGACCAAGTCAATCTTAATAATTAATAATCCTTTAATAAACAATCAACAATATTCTAATTCATTTTATTTAAAAAAAAAAAAAAAGTAAAAAAGGGAGGTTGAGAGAGAGAATGTAAGTAGAGTAATGATTTAAAGAGGATCAGAAGCTCGTGATGAGAATTTCCATGTTTGCAGGTTTTCTAACAGCGCCACTTCAGCCCAACCAAAGGAATTTCTTCTTTCTTTCTCTTCCTTATTTTCTCGTGATCTTCTTCTTCCTTTCACCTCCAATCCTCTTATATTTAAACATTCTTCTAGTCAACCCTTCTTTCATCCCCTCAAATGATTTACAATAAACTAAAATTATATTATTAGAGTATTTAAATTATGGAAGTTTTTATTAAAAATAGTAATAGTAATTCTAGTAATAATGGAGTTAGACAATATGTTAGATCCAAAGTTCCTCGCTTACGCTGGACTCCTGAGCTACACCGCTGCTTTGTTCATGCTATCGAACGCCTTGGTGGTCAAGACAGTAAGTTTTCTTTTCCTTTCTCGTTGTTTCGATGATGAGATAAGGTTGCGTATATCTGAACCTCTTGCTCGGATATTATGGTTATCCGAGCGAGCTGAGATTATTACTACTAATATTAGTAATTAGTATAATTGTTTTGGGTTTTTGAAATTTCAGAGGCAACACCAAAGCTTGTTCTTCAGTTAATGGATGTAAGAGGGCTTACTATTTCTCATGTGAAAAGTCATCTCCAGGTTTGTTTTTCTCTACCTCCATTTTCTTTCTTCTAGAATACTTACCTTTTTTTTTTTTTTTTTTTTTTTAATTTTTTATTATCAATTATTTTAATCATAATAATCCTCGTTCCTTTTTTTTTTACAAAAAAAATCATAATCTAGGTTCTTTTTAAAAAAAATTTGGTGACTTGTGGTCTAAGGTTTCACACTCATTGTTAAGACTAATTTATTTATAATATGCACTAATTTTTGGTTAAATCATTTTTTTAAATGTCAACAGATGTATAGAAGCATGAAGATTGATCATACAAGACAAGGTATGAAATTTTGTACAGTATTTATCTTTATTTTAAATTTTTGTTCAACCACCATGAATATGGATGATTCTCCTATTCTTCTAATTACTTCCAAACTTTACTCCGTCTGTCCGAAATTAATAGTTGTTAGCTACTATAATAAAACTATTACTGTAATTAATATGAGGACACGATTCAAACTCAACCCGAATGGTTCACGGATAGGTGAGTAATTAAAACATGTAATAGAAAAACACAGAAATCTTTAAATTGATGGAGTTGTCAATTTGTCATATATATAAATAGGTCTTGTATTAAAAATCTTGTGAAAGTAATAAAAGCAAAATATTATAGCTAGCTTTAAAATTCTAGGTTGGTTCCCCAAATGGGGTGTTTCACTCAGCTGAAAATCAAAGATTATGGGTTACCATATCATATCTTTTTTAGTGATTTTTGATGTCTCACTTCATTTATTGTTTAAATTGACTAAAACAGAAAATATTCACATTAATTCCCAAATCTTCTGATTTTAACATTTTAATGGGAAAATAAAGTACATAAATAAATTGCCCAATTAAACTTTATTGTTGTACTACTGTACAAACAATTATAATGCTTTCTGAATCAGAAAAATAACATTGGAAATACAATAAAGAACAAAATTTTGAAAATTATAATTACCGTATTTACACAGTAACTTTTTGTTCTTATGTTGTGTAGTAATTTTTTTTTTATTCTATAAATTAAATTTTTAATATTTTTGTGTAACATCTTTTTGGTGTATAATTTGCTTTTAGCAGACAAGAGCTTCACACAGCAAAGGAAACAAGCTTTTGAGAATCATCATAATAACATTGCAAGTACTACTAATTATGTTTTGAAGGATGAAAAAGATGATGTGGGGTTACATTTATCTTCTCCAAATATTACTAATAATCATAATGTTATTCAAGATCTTCAATCTACAATTTCTGCTGCTTTTCCCCCTTCTAAAAGGTACTAGCAATCAACAAGCATTTTCTTTACTCCCATTGTAGATTACATATATATAGACCATCTTTAAATTATACGCGCCAAAATTGATTTTAACACTCCTATAATTTTAAAATCTGCGTGTTTTCGATGATTGTTTTACTCTTATGGGAGTGTGGATGAATTTAAATATTAAAAGTCCTAAAATCAATTCTTCTTGTTTTGACTTTTTTTTTTGTCAAACAATTACCGTTAATAAAGAAAGAACTTTTAGAGACGAAGTTAGTAGTATTACTCGTTTTAAACTTAAGCTTGCACAATAATGAACCAATATGTAGTTTTTTTTCCCCTTTTTTTTCATAAATTGATTGTTGTTTTGTTTCATTTGTTTTTATGGGTGATGAAAAAAATTGAAATTTGAAAAGGGCAAGGATGGAAGAAAGTTGTACAAGTAGTATGATGATGAAGAGAGAGAAATTGGAAAGCAGCCAAAGAGAGGGAGTGAGAAAAGATCCAAAAATGTACTGCTTGGTTGATGATTACAAAAGTCAGCTGGAGTCAATTTATAATAATTCAAAGGGTGAGACAAAAAGAAGAGGAATTATGCTAAAAGATGACAGTAAAAATAAAAATAAAAATAAACATAATAATAATGAGGAAGAAGAAGAATTAGAAAGTGGTGGATTATTGGAAGAGAGTAGTCTGAATATTATCAGATGGCAGCAGCATCAGACCCAACACCCTGGTTTCTCCTCTTTGCTGTCTACACTGCCCCTGCCTCCTCAGGATCATGTTTTCAATTTTCATCATCTTCTTGCAGTCCAACCTGATCAATCCCACTTCTTAAAGCTGCAGGTATAATTCTCATCTTCCTGCTCGGAATTAGTTGTCACGCCAATAGTATAATCAAGTCATGTGAGACGGAGACAATGTTTGATTATGTTGCATTCAATTTGGTTGAACTGTTTGAAATTAACTTATCCGAACTAATTAGAACTTTTTAGAAATTATACATGAGAGTGTTAGAATGTATTTTGTCATATCTTATTTTGACCGGTACTCGTATGAACCTATTTGATAAGATAATATAAGCTGTACAAATAGACCCTTAGCTTCAAGATATTAGCCCCATGTATATAAGCTTGTTAGTAATTATTTGTTGGTTATATGCAATGATTAGTCATGTATATGTGGTCAAATATTCAACAAGAAGACTACATTGTGGTCAAATTTATAATGTGTGAAGGACTACAAATTATGGATAAATGGATATATAGATAATAACAACAGTTTAATTAATTACTATGTACTAGTAATAGCATAAATAAGTGATAATTCACATGTATATATGTTATTTTGTAATGCATGTATATAGAAAATGGAACATGATTACTATTCTTGTGTCTAAATTGGAAGAATTGTTGGTACTGAAAAAAGACCAAGATAAGTGACGAATTTGGAAGAAGAAAACATTTATTGGTGACAGATATTTTAGCCATTATTTAAAAAAAAAAAGAAAATCAACATATTCTAGTTTTTTGGTACAGATATTCTGAGGCAGAATAATTTCCATTATTTTCATAGTGGTCCATTATATTTATATACTATGCTGAAATTGGCAGTCACTCTTTAAATGCGTTTGAAAGTCATTGTGCATTATTAACTTGTTTTAGACTAGAGACTGTATAGAGTAAAGGACAATAATTTTCTGATAATGGTAGTTAGCTAGCTAGTTTAATGCTTGGTAATTATTAAGCTATATGTTCAATATTTATACAACTGATTAATGTTCTTTCGGATTTAAAAAATTTAGCGGGACTTATACACCTATTTAAAATCTCAAGTCGATATAAACATAGAGATAGCTCAAGTGGTTAAAGCTCCCCTCCCTCACTCTCCTGTCGTTATGTCATTGATCCTTTAATGCATAATATATTTTGCGTGTAGAATTGTTTAATCGTCTCACGTTTAAATTATTACAGGAAGCAATGGCATATGAACAAGTATCAGACCAAAATCAAGCTCATTACTTTCACAACTCAGATGCATTCTTCTCTTCTATGAAACAAACCAAAGATGAATACAAAGAAAACGACGATGATGAAGAGCTAGCAATCGGAAAAAGAGACAACGAGCATGGAATATCCTTGTCTCTCTCCTTACAAAGGGTGGCCTCGCCGCCATTGTTAATCCAACGGAGCAGCAATGTTTCGTCGACTAATGTTAGTGAAATTAGTGATCAGGCAATTAGTTCATACTCTTCTTCTTCTATTGCTTGGGATAATCATCAACAGTCTCTTAATCTTGATTTATCTATCTCACTTTGTGGTAGCTAATTAGATTAGTTAATTCCTTTTTATTTTAGGCAGGCAATCAGGTTCTTTAATATCATAGTATTATGCATTTGTAAAAAAATTAATGAAAGTTTAGTTGATTAAATCAAGTCATAAACTAGTTGGAGTACTGGTCTTATTATATCTATTCTTTCATATTAAATTAAACCAAATTTAATTATTCGTAAGGAGTACCTTCTATCAATCACGTACTGCATGATTAGAGTATGGTAATCACTAATTAGGATTGTTGGATCCTAAAAACAGTCCACAAACTATCACGTTGTACAATATCCCAAAAAGGCAATTAAACAACATTCTCCACTGTCATTGGGCAGATTTAGAGGTGTCAATTTGAATATGCAAGTCAAGTTCGGTAAAGGGTTGGATGAGATCTTTCAAATTTGAGTCATGTTAAATTATTGTATCCATACAATTCGAAATCTGAATTTAATTTTTTTATTTTTCAGATCGAGTCATCTTTTGACGCCTCTATACTCAACCTAATATTCTTCTTACCTGGAAAAGGAAGATTTACAAATTGCCTTTAGAAGAAATAAGGTTGCACAATTGAGATTGTAGGGTTCCAAACTGTAATGGCCTCCAACTAAGCCTTATGCTACGTTTGTTGAAATCCCATTAACAAAAATACGAAAGAAACTGTTATCCCATGTTGAAGTGTTAAACAAGAGGAGGATTGAATGACAAATCACTTTATAATTACTATCTCCGTTTCATATTTTTTGCAATTTTAGGGCATTATTTGTAAAATATAAAATAATTCAAAGTTTAAAGAATCGTCTTGTCAAAAAAAAAAAAAAGGTTTGAGGAATCGATTAATTACTTCAATTACCAAATTGGTTTTAGAATGAAATACCCTTATAAAATAGGGTGTGTTCTCAACTTTTTCAAAACAAAACAAGTTCACCGTTCAAAAAAAAAAAAAGGGTACAAGTTTCAAGGCTTACGACCAAATAAGTTTAAATAATTGTAGCGTGCATGCACATTATACATGACTAATAATCTAATATATTGATTTTGTAGAGATATTCCAAATTATAAAAAGTGTACAACAAAGTTCATTATAGGAAAGAATATCTTCCAATTCCAAGGAACCTTTGCTAGATAAGTAGATATCATAGACAATTAGACAAAGACAATGACAAATTAGACACATTCACACATAAATACAGTAGTAGGTAGTGAATTCAAAATAGAACATTTTTTTGTACCTTGGACCAGCTTATCAAACATTGTAAAACTATTTCAACAATAATACAACACAACAATTAAACTTCACCTTTAAATTTTTAATGATTTACAACTGTAACTGTTTCGGGGTTTTTTGATGTCCTGCGGGAGAGTTACAATTCCGAGACTGGAACCGGACGCCTGTACCTGCAAAACAAACGGATGCTCCGGATGGTTGGAGATCCGCCTCCGACGGTCAAGTTAGTACTTGATTAAGGAGTAATTAATGCCTAAATTAAAGTGATTGGGTCTCTCTAGGTGAGAGTGTTTAATGTGTGTAATCTGCGTGTTTAGCATGTTATCTCCCTTAATGAGGATTAAGGGAGGTATTTATAACCTCGGGAAACGTGTCAGTCTAGGTTTAGGTTAACCTTGGGCTGATTGGGCTTCCCTCGGGAGTTGGGCCTAGGTGACCGGTTATCCCAGGTGTCATGGGAAGGACACGTGTCGTGTCGTAATTGGTCCATGGTGGACGGATCATTGCTTGACACGTGGCAGGCTCCTATTGGCCCATGTGACGGACACATGGCAAAACCTGATTGGTCCACTTGTCAGATGGTGACTGGTGGGGAAAAATCCCCTAATCATTTGCCCCTCACAGGTGGCACGTGACTGGTCACGTGTTACCTGTGACAGGTATCGCCCTGTAACAGGCGACGGCCTGCTACAGGTGTCACTCAGCGAGAGGCCGAGAGATTCTCCCGCCAAAATTTTGAATTCTGGAAGTGACTCTTCGCCTTCTCACTTCGCCTATATAAAGGAGTGTTGACTTCGGTCATTTTCACACTTGAAAACTTTGTGAGAGAACATTCGGACCCCTGAACTTGCTCTGACATTTTGGACCGTTTCTGCCTACCGCCTGCTCTGACAAGCCGACTGCAAAGGATTTTCAAAACTTCATCAATCGTCACTCGTTCAGGTAACTGTCGGTTCTCTTACTCTTAATTTTCTCTTTACTTTATTCTTTTTTGAAATGGCACCACGGAAGCACACGACACGACCTAGGTTAGTGATCAGCCGGTCACCGGGGACGGCTGAATCTAGGACTAGGAGTGCCGCCTGCCCTTTTCTGGACCCATCTTTGCCCTTTATACAAAGTCCGACTGTATCTGTGTCTATGCAGAGCATGATGGCCAGAACAAAAAAGACTGCCAGGATCTCAAACTCAGACGGCTCCTCCCACAGGGTGCCGATTAGTGAAACATCTGACCAGGCGCCAGATGTGGAAGTGAAACAAAGCGGCTTGAAAGCCGACAGTTCTGAGGGAGGAGTCAAAGTGACCCCTTCCCATTTTACAATTGACAATTCTACATTCTCTCCTGCTCCTTTTAAAGGAGAGGAGGCAGGCCCCTCCGGGAGAGGGGAGGAGTCGTCCTCTTCGGACTCGTCAGAGGACGATTCCGAGTCTAGCTCTTCTGGCCATGCTTCCCTGGACACAGAAGAGAAAAACAGTCGCCTACAAGAGGCGAGGCTTTCTCACGCAGTTGAGAAAGGGGACGATTGGGCGGAGCCATCCGCCTCTCACCGAGAGCAAAATACCCCCTACTACTGCACGGTACCTCGGGGCCGGATCACGGCCATGCAAGAGAAAGTGGAGAGCTTTATCGCAAACCACACAATGGGCCCCGACTTTTTAGTGTTCGTGCCGGATCCAGAAGACAAAGTCGTCTGGCCGGCTGGTACCAGTTATGATGGCGCCTGCTTTGGCTGCTACGAGGCGGCCATCAAGGCTGGGCTGCGCTTCCCACTACATCCGGTTGTTCAGCGGATCTTGGATGGGTATGAGTTGGGGTTATGGCAGTTAGCCCCGAACTCCTGGGTCAACGTACTCGGCTATGTGGCCGGGTGCGAACTGAACGGGGTGGAGCCGAGCTTCGAGGCTTTCGCCCACATGAACTACCTCAGCCGGACCCCTAAGGCAAGCGGTACCGGCTGGTATCAATTGACGAGCCACAGGGGCTACCTCATGACGAGAGGTAAAGCAAACAAATGGAAGGACTGGCGGAGCACCTTCCTCATCATTGAGAGTTCAGACACAGAGCTGAACAAGCACTTCAACAGGTGGAACAGGAATCCGCCCCTTCTTCCAGGCGGCCGCAGTATGCCGCCTGTTCCCCCCAAGGCTAAGAAAGAGATCCTAGATAAAGGACTCTTCAAAGTGGAGTCGAAGGTGAACTCTACTTCAGGGGTACGAGAGCAAGTACCCCTGCACTGCGTCCCGAGCTTCAAATGGCTCTACGACGAGTACTTTTTGGCCGCCTGTGGCCTCAGCAGTCGGTGCTCAAGAGGTAGCCGGCCTGTCGAATACTCTGTTGTTCCATTCATTTCTTGTTATGACTTTTATTAACTTTGCTATTTGTTTTTGCAGCGGACGCCATGAGCAAAATTACCGCCTCCAAGACTGCGGCGGCCATGTTGCGGGCCTCCATCATGCAACAGTCTTCAACCGACTCCCCCAACAAGGGGGCACCCTTGACGGGCGCTCCAAGAGCTTCTTCTTCCCAATAGCCGGACCCCAAGGCCCGGAGGACGACTGTTGCGAGCTCTCCTGGTTCTGCCAGGAAACATGCGGCGGCTAAGAAACAGCCGACCACTTCTTCTAAAACTCCAGCTGGACCACCTAGAAGTATGAAATTGTCCTAGTAAATTTTAGACTTGCACCCTTCTTTACTAGGTCTAATCCGTTTGTTTATGCTTGATGCAGCCGGCCCTCAGGAGCCTGACTTGGTCGAGGTGGCCAAGTCTATGATCAAAGCTGTTCCTCCAGCTGAAAGGGAGGCGGTCAGGGGTGTCGGTACCCTTGACCTAGACGGGATTGCAGGGGTCCTTGCTGAGGTATACTTAGCATATTTTTGAGTATTTGAATTCCAGGACGCCTGTTTTCTTTATTGTTTGGAAACTGACGCATGTTCCCCTTTTTACTTAGGCCCTGCTCTGAGTGAACGACCTTCGCAAGCCGCTTGACCGGAAGAACAAAGAGGTAAAGGCTGCAAAAGCTATGGCCGCCTCTGACTGTGATAAGGCAATGTTTCAAATTGCCCAAAATGAAGTTCTGACCATTGATATTCTTTATTATCAGGCGCAGGCTACCGCCGCTATCCGGGCTCAGTTAGAGGCGGCCTAGAAGAGGAATAGCGAGCTGGAGGCGACCATCAACAACCTCAAGGCCGAGCTGAGACCTCTTCGTCAAAAGATGTCCTCATACGAAACCTTGGAGAAATCCTTGGCGAGCGTAAAGGTACGCCTGGTGACCCAGGAGAAAAGTCTTACTCAGGAGCTCTCGGAAAAGGCCGAGCAAGAAAAGAAAGAGCTGGTCCGGGAGATGATGGAAGACTCTGCTCAAATCCAGCGCATGACTTGGGGCCGCCTCTTCCCCAATGCCGACTTTGCCTCATGGGAAAAAACGTACCGCCAGTGTTCTGATAGATATAATCAAGAGATCCTGGCGGCTGCTGAGGAAGAGGCGTTGGAGGAGGCGTTGGAGGAGGAGGAGCAGCCGGTAGTGGCGCTTGTGCCGCTTGGGGGTAATGCATCAAAGAAGGATGCAGCTGAAGCCGAGTCCAGCAAGAAGAGTGCTGACCAGGCGGCAACTGCTAATATTGAAGATCTGCCCCCTTCTTAAGCTTTATGTCTTCTTGTCACGGCCTGCGTGCCGTTTGTTTGTATTTACCCGGCCAGGGGGCCGGGACTCTGAATATTTTGCCGGTCTTTAATGACCGGCTTCTTTTTAATGAATTTTTTGTTTTGCTTCAAATTTGTTTAAGTATTGAATATTCTGATATCCAATTGTACACTATACTGACTGTTTTACATGGCCGATAGTTGCAGACTGGTACGGATAGTTAGTCACGCCGCCTATGCCCCTGGACGACTGGTTGTCTGTTTCCAGGC